AGTTAAGGTGGGTTGGGAAGGACCCAGAAACTGTAAATAATTCGACGAGATCCCGTTTTTGTTTGTTTGTCAGCCGGCTGTCGCATTACTCAGATCCATTTATTGTGTGGTGGAATTATTCCTCTGTTGTCTGCGTTGGAGATAGCCATGGCTAAAAATGCTGATAAAATTGGTCTCAGGTAAGTAACTCTTAACCCATTCGCTTCCAAAAGAACTGATTATCAAAAGCATGAATCGCTATAAAAGCCGAAGCACTGCTAAAAAGGTTATATGTGAATGGTCGCACAATGTATTCACAGTATGTTTGAGCGGTTGATATTTTGTCCGTCTGGCGACTTCGGTTCCCGAGGCGTGAGTTTTGGTCTTGTCATTGTGTTTGGTTCTTGTCGCCGAGCATTTTTTCTTTTTCCTTTTTGTTGCAGCAAGGAAAGTCGATCTCTGAGAGTAGTCCGCGTTGAGCTAGATAACGGTCAGCGGCTGGTAGGTCTGCGTTACCCAGAGCAACTCATACCGGAAGCTACATTGTTTCTGAAGGAGCAAAAGTTGCTCGACGCCGTTATCGTAAGTAAATATTGATTTGTATAAAGAAAAGTGTAAAAAATTCTCATCACACATTTTTGGCCAAGCACTCGTGTTAAAGAACAGTTCCCGACCGGTCCTTAATTTTAGCAGCGTTGAACGATTGATAACCACACTCAGTCATCATCAAGAACTCCTCTTACCCAAGAGTGACCAACATTAATTTTCTCCTAACAATAATATTTAACAATTATTCCTCTCGCCTTCATGGCCTCTGAGTCAATAGCCCATGAGGCCGAAGGCCAAATGGGCTATCGACTTAGAGACCGTGAGGGCGAGAGGAATAATTTTTTTAGTAAAATCCAACCTAGCTGGTCAAAAATATCGAGACAAAACAGGTTTAGCTGGTTAAAGCTAGACTTTAATCCTTTTTTTGCCGCCAAAAAGCCCGCCTTTTCGCTACTAGTGGGCTATAACATATAGCCTAGTAGTAGCTCAACCAATCAGAACGCAGCATTGATAATAGACCACTAGTTGGATTTTACTAAATAGATTTAGCCAGGGCTAAAAGCGAAGCTCTGGTTAATAATACTTATAAACAAGAAAAGTTAAAACGTGTAATGCTAAACGGGGACGGCAATGAAAATGGCATCAAGTTTAATAGATCTAACTAGCAAAAAAACAAATTGGACGTGCAGCACACTTTTTTTTCTAATTAGCAAAAAAACAAATTTGCACGTGCAGCACGCTTTTTGTCTTTCTTTGCCGTTGTTTTGCACAACTACAACGCTGTTTTGTTGGACTAAATCGTCAAACTTCCTAGTTACACATTATTTTTATGGAGGAATTGTCGTATGTGCTTACCCAATATTTTGTCTCCTGTGTTCATGTTCGCTTTTATTTTTCACTGCCCCTCATTTTCACCTTGCTGGGCGTTCCTTGCTGGCCGCTAGCATTTCTCATTGTCTCACCGCCGCTTTGAATTTTTATGTTTTTCTTCCTACAAAATTCGGCTGTAGCTCTTTCTCTGTTATCCACGTAAATGTAAACATCAAAAATAACATCGAAAAATACATGACTTTGTACTTCTCACTTAGGGCAAAATGTTGGCTTAGGGGAGGGGTAGGTGGGCAGTTCCCAGAAGCGTGTAATGATCCATAATATCAATACGTAACCAAGAGAAAAGGTTATAAGAATTAATAAAATGTAACCAAAAGTTGATCTTTTACCAAATTCTCTGTTCTAATTTTGTAAAAACATACGTGAAGAAAAAGTCCGGAGATTTTATTTGTCTGTGTATACTGGATTTTCATAGTACACAACAGAGAATAAGTTTTATTTTAACATCGCAGCATGATCTTGTTACTTATCTGATATTTATTTCAAATTATTAATAACCTGCGAGTTCAGCCTTCTCTCATTGCCCCCGTTTCTGGGGACGTTAGCGAGAGTCTGGTTAAAATTTTTATCGTGCTTTGCTACTGCTTTTAGGCTTCAACTTTGAACCTTGTTAGGTATTGTTTTGACTTAAACGATTATCTTTTTTTTGTTGTTGTTTTTTTTCCCTTTATTTTCTAGGACAAACAAAATGGTGTTTTGAGTTCAACAGAACCTTCTCTTAGACAGCCATCAAAAGCCAGCCGAGCGTTTGAGGAAGCGGAAACGCCCATCAACCAAAGGACGTTAACTAAGGCTACTACTCCTCCTGTAACTATAAAGAATTTCTTTAAACCGAAGACTGTTGAACGATCACCTGAGAGTAATAAAAGTGCATCAGAACATCAGGATGTTAAGGAAAAGAGCGGGGAAAATGACTGCAATGAGATCGAAAATCAAGAAATCGAGAACAACGTCAAAAACAGCACGGATGACAAACAAGCAACGACCAAACTAAGTAAGAAGGAAGTCAAATCAATATACTTTAAATCGAAGGGAAGAGAAAAGGAAGAGCTCCCGGAAACTAAAGGACCTTTCAAAGGTGCTGCTAAGTGTAATGGTCTTGTGCATCACCTTTCGGAACCCCTTTCGAAAGAGAACCTTCAAGGAAAGAACTCTTTGAAACGAACTAGTTCTGAAGCGTCGTCAAGGGCGATTAAGCCACAGAAGCAATCGAGCATTTTGTCTTCGTTTGGGAAAAGGAGTGACAAAGATTCTAAGGACCAAAAGGAGAAGGAAGTTCTCTGCCCCGTTTGTGGGGAGAAATTTGCGAGCGGATTGAAAAATTCTGATATCAACAAACACATCGACAATTGTCTCAGTAAATGATAAAAATTATGAAATTTATATATTTTTAGCAAAAATAAATACTAGTTATTCTTGAATCACAATATGACATAATTAGCAATAGTATTGTTACTTGTAACTGATATATGTTTAGCTATGAAATTATAACACGTTCATGGTTCTGCAGTTTTTTTAATCAAAATCTTTTCAAAGAAACAAGCTTATGCTACATCCCTCTGATTCTGCACTAAAACCTGTGTCAATCCGTGGATTTACGCTCCCATGTACAGTCGAAATCCGCTTTGCGGACACTTGCTTAATACGGACACCATCATTATTACAGACGGTTTTCTTTGTCTCTGGGGAAAGAAAGCCCTTACATTTCCTCTAAAATTTGTCTAGAATTTTCTATTACTTGAGGACGGCTAAAAATTTGTAGATGACCGTTCCATTCACGTACAATTTTCGAAGCTTATCTTATAAATTCTCCACGATTTTCTGAAATTTTATTTTTCACATTTTACTTTCCAAGTTAGGCTGTTTTTCGTAGAAAAAAAGGAACCTAAACTTTTCGGTTTCAAAAATGTGGTGGCGAGAGGAATCAGAAAATTTCTCTCTTTCGTAATACGTCAAATTTCTTCTAAAATCTCGGAAAAATAATACTCAAGCCTTTGTAATTTCGAAAAGACTCAAGTTCCCCAAGGATGACCAAACAGATACAAATTGTACGCGCCGTTTAGAATACATTTCTAGATATCTAAAAAGTACTCTGGATAGCCTGAAAAGGAAACCATCGTTGGGTGCCCCGATTAATAACTTATTTCTTTCTGCAAACGGTAAAACTAGCCAACAAAATGGGAAAACCTGTACTAAATATTATTGATACCCCAATACATTCTAAATGGAAAAAAAGCTATAATTTTAGGATAAGACAAGACTTTTGTCAGCCTCAAATCGGCAGAAAAGTAAGAATTTTTACTTATTTATTTGCCAGAAAAAAAACATAATGATATTCATAGACACAGGGACCGCGCAGCAAGTTTTCGAGTGGGGGGGCTAAAGAAGAATGCGTGAACGAAATTTTTTTTTTTGGGAGGGGGGGGCATGCTTCTGGATTTCTATTCAATTTCTCTAAAGTGACGGAGAATGCGACTAACGATAAAACTATTGATTTTTTTCCACATCTTCAGTGATGTTGCTATCGGGTCTGAAAATTCACCATCACTAAATTGAAATATCATAGATTGTTATGTTATACTACTGATATCAACCATTAATTACTATAAATAAGCCAGAAATCCAACTATTTTGCTTGAGCTGCCTTGAACTCAAGGCTGTATAATTACTGAGCAATTATTGCACGAGGCTGAGTATGATATGGAGAGTTATGCAGATCGAGGGGTTTATCCGCCAAAGCCGAAGGCTTGAGCCCGGTGGATAACACCTTCCGAGATCTGTATATCTTCATATCATACGAAAGCCGAGTTCAATAATTGTTTAATTATTCATTCAAAATATTTACACGGCAAAACAAAACGGTAACTGAAAATAATTTAGTAAATGATATTAAAGTTACTGTACATCATTTACTCGAAAAGTGCCAAAATTACGCTTTCTGCTTGTGTTGCGGTCGGTAAATTCGTTTGCTATGTCAATGGTGGAAAGCCTGTCCGTTCTTTCTTTGTGTATGTTTAAAACTGTCAGGTTACTAAATCGTTCCTGGTTCATTCTTGAACGGAGCCATGTGTTTAGCCTCCGGGCAGTCGAAAAGGATCGTTCACCGGCTGCACTGGTTGCTGGATTTACGACAATCAGCTTACATAACGTGATAACTTCTTTTATCGTTTCCCGTTCTGGGTTGGGTAGCTCTTTTAATTTTTACTATGATGTCGTCAAAACAAAAATAATCACCATCCTTCAGCAGCACTTGTAAAATTTCCATCTGGGCGGTTAACACTGAAATATTAACGATTTTTTGCTATTTTTCACTCCGTTACTTTTGTTAAATTATTTTTTGTTAATTTATTTTTATTCTTGCAAAAAAGTGGGGGGGCTAAAGCCCCCCCAGCCCCTCCCTCCGCGCGGTCCCTGAGACATGCAATATATTATAAAACATGTTATTTAAAGATAAAAGAGGCGTAAATTGTAAGTAAAAGAATCAAAAGTATTTTTCTGGCGAGAAAGCTCAAACAGAAGCCTTGGGGCTTATTATACGAAGAATATTCAGTCCGTGGGTACATTCTAAAAAAAGAGTGTTTTCGTCGATAACACAAGCGTCAATTTTTGTTGTCGACAAACCACAACTCTTCTTTCCTCGTCTGTGTGACAATCTTTGACAAGTAACGCTAATATCATCGCCCCTTTCTCGACAAATAAAAATAAAAAAACTTTTAGAGTTTACAAATGCAACTTCCCGCACATTGCGTTTTAGAAAGTTGCAGCTTACTATTTGTAAGTAACTTGTAAGAAAATAGAAATCGAAATCTTTGGATCACAGAACTCTTTGACAGTTTTGTTAAAAATCTCAAACTGTCGGTAACCTAGGATCGTTGCTATTTAGAGAGTTCATGGTCTCAATAGTTTAATAATACACACTTCGAGTCCTTAGTAACTGTCAAGCGTGATCATTCGAACAATGGGTATTGAAAAACCAAATTATTTTTTTAAATGATTTTTTGTTTTGCATTTTGAGCTAATGCGCTCATACGATTAAAAACGATAAAGTCAGGGACGCAGAATTATACCCATATTTTTCTATTCTTGACTTTTATCGTCAAAAATTGAAACTCTTCCTCGTTCCGTGGTTTCTATTTTTGGTCGCGTGATATGCGAGATCAGACAATAAATCTGAGACACACGAACCATTAGACGAACTTGAATAAATTAGTCTCGCCCAAATAGATGGCGCTCACGCTTAGTTCGCTGGTAACCAATGTGAAATCGGCCTTCCAAAACCACTCAGGTTCCATAAGGAACACAACTGTCGCCTCTGCTGGTGTTTGGCCTGAATGCCGTCGTACAGAGTGAAGATTTCTTCCAGTGTCCTCCAGACAACTTTGTTTTCTACGCCAGCTGTTTCTTCATCATTCCTGCTTTGTTTTTGTTTATCGCGACGATTTTTCTTCACAGCGGATTTTGGGACCATGTTCGTGGATGCTGTTATTACGAAGGTCCGTACAAGCGAGGAGCAGAACGGTACTGCTGTTGTTTGTTTCCAAGATGGCCTTGCAGCAAAGCTCTTGTGGAAATCGTATTCCAAAGTTCTCTGTCTGGGTTCATGTGGATTTTCTGGGCGCTCTTGCAGCGTGACTATTACATCTGCGCTGCTCTCGGAGGAACGAAAGCAGCTAAATTAATAAGTGCCTCAGCCGCGCAAAAGTTAAAAATCGAAGCAGATTACGCGAACGCGGGAAAAAATTCACAGATGGTAGCGTTGCTCTTGCTAGCTGGAGCGTTACTTACAGCTTTCGTTGTTGTTTCAGTTCAGCGATGCTGTTATCAGCGTGAGTTCGGCACTTTACCGAGTCCGTACCAGTATAAGAAGCTCGAGTCGGAAGCTGCTGTGGAGGTCTTTAAACTGAACATGGAAAAACTCGCGAAAGGACAAGGCAAGAGGCGTGCAGATATGTACTTTGCGACCATGAACAGGAAAAACCCGTCTGACATCCTCAAGAGTGCCTATGAAATCTCGTCGCTGTGAACAAATTTGACGAAGCGTTTCCATCTTTGGAAGATTATCAGGAGCTCCAAGCACACGCGGTTATGGGCATCTCCAGGGAAGATAGAGCCTCCAAGACAGAATTGCTTCGCAGAGCCAACATGCCATGCATTAAGGCACTCATCATGAAACCAAAGCTGCGGGGGGTTGGACATGTGGTTCGAACGGACGACGCGCCATTCCCGAAGATGGTCTTCTTCTCTGACCTGGCTACCGGTGCCGGTAGCATTAGACACCCACTGAAGAGGTTCAAACATGGCCTGAAACAAAAAACTGAATTGAATCCCATTCTTGTATAAGAAACCCTCACCGCAAACCCCAGCGCCCGGAGAATGGCCGTCCACAAGGGCGTTCAAGGCTTTTTAAAAAGCGGCTGTACAACCTCGACCAGGCCTTTCGGAAGGCCGGGTTCTAGTTGCGCGAAGGCTGCGTCTTAGCGATTGAATCGATCACGGTTTCTTCAAGTTGTTTAGGGTAGGCCATTATAACTGATTGTTTTTTTGTAAATTTACTAAGGATGGGGAGTGGAAAGTAACGGACAAAGAACTACTCAGCAGCCAAGCGTCAACAGGAAAAGGTCAAGCGAAGCCTTTCCCCGCCATGCCGCCTGTAATCGGAAAAACGGACGAGGATCTCAGCAGTGACGAAAAATACGAGGAGGAGAGCTTTCGATCCAAACAACTCTTTTTACTTGCTTGGCAAATAGCTAAAGGAATGGTAATTACTATATGATTATTTTCTGAGCGACGTTGCTTCGATTCAGTTTCTGTTTTTATCATTCAAAGGTCGGTTTCAGACTATTTCACAAGCAAGAAATAAAGGACAAATGGGTTAATTTTCTGGATGAAGAATGATTTGATTTTTTTCATTAGAATGTCAAATTAGTTTTAGTGGAGAAATTGTCTTAGTCGATCGAACCAAATTTGGCATGTTTCGTATAATCTTGAATCAGTCGTTCAGATCAGTTCAGTTTAGTATTTTTCGTTTAGTAATTTAGTTTAGTAATTGTTTGCCCCTAATTTTCTCGCCTTCACCCATGACTTTTTAGGCAGTAATAGCCCTGTAACTGAAGTATTATGGTACTTATTTTCATTTTTTTCCCTTCCTTCTTAAAATTAGAATCATCTCGCCGAAACAATCTTGTCCACAGAGACCTTGCTGCCCGTAATGTTCTTGTTGGCCATGACAACCAAATCAAAGTGTCAGACTTTGGGTTGATGAGACAAATCTATGAAGATGTGAGCAGCTCAGCGAAGTCCAAAAAACTTCCTGTGAAATGGATGGCCCCAGAATCACTCTATCAAGGCCTTTACACTACCAAAAGTGATGTGTACGTATAAAAGATTCCCACTCTTTTAAACATATTTCGATACATTGCTGCTCAGAAAACCTCAGCTACCCTAAAAATCGTGATCAGTGAGTTGAATTCAAACCGATCTAGAATTCCAGTGGTTAATATAGTGGGTAATTTCGTACTTGTCAGCGCAATTTTGACTCAGGACTATATATAGTTTTCACATTCAATAGCGAGAGCGGGGTCGGTTGAATTCTTAAATCAGAGTGTATGTAAAGATCACTTAGAAGCTTTTCTTTGCCAGGAAAAGTTTACGAATATGCGACAGACGCGTCACGTAAATTGGTATTGATTTCCCTACTCTATTAACCTTGTTAGGCCATTTACTAAGGGCTTTGAGCGTCTGAGGCCTGGGGGCCGTTTCTCGAAAGTCCCGGTAACTTTTCGGGCCCGAAATCAAATTTTCAAATCGAAAAGAAGAAGAGCGCGGGTTCTGGCTAGCAAACTACTCCATTGTGTTTCATTAACTGATAGTTTTATCATGCTAGATGAAAAACTATTGAAACTACTACCTTGCATGTAAACAACAACAGCTTTACGGGCCCGTTAATTATCGGGACTTTCGAGAAACGGGCCCCTGGTGTCATAGGGTTCAGTCACGCGCGAAGGCACGAAAAAGTGGAGGCACGCCCTTTTCCCCTTAAGTTCATCAAGTAAAAGGAAGAGAAGAAAAGTTTATAGTGTTTATGCAGTGGATATATTTATGGCCTTTGTGCTTTTCTCTATAGTTGGTCTTTCGGTGTTGTTCTTTGGGAGATGGCTACATTGGGTGAGTAGACCGTCACACACTGATTATGTTACCTTCCAAGGGGAGTGACATCCCAAGAACTCTCCTCACTGTTACCACGGGGGATATGACTTGAAGTGCAACTGATATGAGAGGACGACACTGGGACTCTTAATAGGCTGATACCTGATGAGTCTTATATGTGCCAAGCCAGCAGGCTTTTTTGTTTTGAACGAAGCTCTTGTCTGAAATCATAAGTGATAATCGGCATCAAATATGCACGTACTAGTTGTTTCCCAGAAAGAGGAGCCTTATTACTAAGCACCCTGCTTTCTTTCTTTCTTTCGTTCTTTCTTACACTTAAATGCAACTCTGACCCCTATTCAATCACTATTCTTTTGCAAAACTGTATTATTGAGTGCGGAGGAATGAAGAGTCGTCGGCGTTGACATTTCCAGTAGAAAGCTGTCCAGGGGAATGAGCCCTGTTTTCAAAATAACATCATGTATATTTTTTCTTTCGCACAAAGTGATCAAGAGGCGTACCATACCCCACGCTGGCCAACTCAGAGTTGTATCGACTGCTTGGCACTGGTTATCGCATGGAAAGGCCTGACATGTGCTCCGATGATGTGTACGTTTCTTGATCAGAATAGTCTTAGAACTAACAAAAAGATTCGATCTTTTTAGTTATAAACAGGCTTGAAAGTTGCAGAGGACAAGTCGGTTTCGATTTTGACGTTTTCTTCGATCAAAGTGATTACTGAACAGACAGAAGGCAAAATCTTAGCTTAAATATTTGTTTCATACAGTGATATGATAGTGTTATTAAACAGAGATCGACAGAGCAAGAATTAGCCTGCGAGCAAGCTCTCCATTTGGGCAAGGAAAACGAACCGCGCGAGTACGCGCGAGCGGGGGGCCCCTCGCTGTCGTTTTTCCTCTCGCGTGTCGCACTTAAGTGTACTTGAAGAGATCCCCCAAATGGAGAGCTTGCTTGCAGGCTTGGCAAGAAACCGACAAGCCTAATGATCCGGCGTGAGTGGCTCCCAGCTAGTCTAAAGGAAAAATCTTCCGCTAAATCGGAAAAACGGTGTCTATACATGTAATAATGGAGTGAAACTCTGACTAACTTCAATTGGTTTGTTTTTTTTTTGTTTGTTTTTTTTTTGTCCACAACAGATATGAGCTGATGGCTGACTGCTGGAAAGAGGAACCTCGCTCTCGTCCCAGTTTCTATCAACTGATCGAAAAACTGGAGGTGATAATGGAGAGGGATGCACCATACTTGCATCTAAACGAACACAATAAAGATCGTCCATATTACAACGTGCCACCTGAAGCTAGTGATGATTAAATATGGAGAAGGAGTTTCCCCAGTAATCAGACATTTTCAGACCAAACGAGTATAAACAGTTAACCAGTAATGATCATATCGAGAAAGTAATCTTAAAACGTTTGAATAGGAAGTAAAAGTAGAAGCATAACAAGAACTGTATTAGCAGTAAGGCACCTAGGATCTAATCAGGACTGAGCCCTTTACCCAGGAATGTTCTTGCAAAACGCCTGGGTCATAGCGTGCTAGATTTATATTTTTTAGACTGTTTTAAGATTCCTCGATCTCTCACGTAAAAATAAAAACAAATCATTAAGCTGTCACATGCTAGCTGTTTTCGTTTCTTCACTATCTGCAGCCTGCGTAGTCAGCGGGATCAGAAGCGCATCCAGAGTTTTGGCAGAGGAGCTGCAAAGCCGCTCACCTTGGGGAAGAAGAGGAGACGTTTTGAAATTCCCTCGCAGCTTCACCGCCATAACTCTCACACGCGCGCGCGCAAAAAAATGGGAGGGCTAGCTGATCTAACAGGCAGCCCAAGCGCAGTATGGTTGTTGCATGTGGTACAATATTGCAAAATGAAAGGAAACTATTAAAGATTCGTCCGGGGCGGTAATAGATTCAAGACGAAAGTTATTAGCAGAAATTAATTAGCAATTAATGAATGAGGCTGAGTATCTCATGAAGAATTATGGAGATCGTGCGGCCTCGACGGATAACACCCTCCGAGAACTCCATAATTCTTCATATGATACGAAAGCCGAATTCAATAATTGTTTTTATTATTCATTCAAAATAATTCCTAGTTTAAAACATGACTAAAACACGCCTATCTCCATCGATCCATCGATGTTAAGTTCATCCTAGATAGTGCACGTTTAGGGTTGTTCAGCTACGCAAATATTCTCCAAATAGCAGATGTCGCCCTTCGAGTTGTCTTCTTGTTTTTCTTGCCATGTTTTTAGCTATTTTTTCAAGTTAACAACCAAAACAAGTCAACCTCGTCCCCAGGTCTTCTCGGTTGACTGCATTAACCTGTAAGAACGCGGCATTTTTGACCTCATTTCCTCGCTAAACACAAAATTCCTCCAAATTTAGTCATCAGTAACCGGTTATGGTGAATTAAATGTGTGCTTTCAGCCAACCAGAATCGGGAAAATATTTTGAATGAATAATAATTCTCAATAAACACATCTCTGACGTTATTTAAATTGGGTGTTTTTGCTTTTTGGCAAAAAAAAAAAAAAAAAAAAAACATGAGTGAGCGGCCAACGATCGAATGAAAAAATGTTCGTTGAGTTGATGGGACTTAGGGGCGATGAGGATCTAAGGAATTTCAAGCTCATTTGAGAGGGGGCTTAATAAAGACGGGCGACTTATTTAATTTAGAAAGATGACGGTATGAGTTCTCCGTAAAGAACTAAAGTACAAAGTGGAAAAGCTCAAGTACTTAAGGAGGTTGGAGGTCATGCACCCTAGGATCAGAAGCAAATCCGAACTTCCAGAGTTGGTAATGGAAACATTTTGTCTCAGTCCACACCGAAGTTTTACGGTGGAGATTGATTGTACAGTCTATCATTTATTAGTGAAGAATAATTAGGGGAGAGGATGGGGGGCGGGGGGCTTACTAACTTTCTTCCCCAGAAAAGGGGGGCGGGGGTATTGGGGGGAGGGAGCTTATTTATCTTATTTATTAGAGATTGAGAAGGGGGCTTAATAGAGGATTTACGGCATACTTGACACGATCCAGTACGAGAAATATCTTCTTGAGCAGCAAAACCTTTGCGGTGCTTACGGCTTCGAGTGCGTCAGGTTTTAGAAATCTTGCTTGAACGCACTTACAGCTATCCCAAATTTCCCGTCCTTTGGATGGGTGGAATCGAAAACCCCAGCAGACGATCTGGTCCCAGTTGTTCAAAAGGTGGATAGCGGTATCCGATGGATAAATCTCTATCTAGTGGATAACGCAATTGGTTTCCCAAATACTTATCCACCGGGTAGTGATTTATCCGGTGGATAGCGCTATCCAGCTTTTGAACAACCGGGGCCTGGGGCCTAGGCTCATTTGCGCCCGCAAGGTATGGCGGTAATAATCAAAATGCGGGAAACGAGAGAATATTCACAACAAAGGGATTTGGGTGTAAAAATACCCAAAATGATGGCTTTTTCCTTTAAATTGCTATAATCAGAAGGTAACCATGGCTCTATCTAGTCCAGAATCACCTGTTCCGCCACGCCGGGTTGTAATTAATCGCACTGAAAACCCGAGCGAGGAACACGAGGAGCTGAACAAGATGGCGCACGGCGTTGTGGCAGAAAGTCGAAGGTTTGTACTCTTGGTTGGGTTTTCTTTTATGTAGCAAGGTTTCGCTTAGTTGTGTTATTAATGGGGGGAACTTATTTAACTTAGATAATTTACTGAAATTTTAAAAGGTGTATATGCACACGAGCCCAAGCTTAGCTTGATTTATTACATGGCCATATGCATTGTTTCTATTTTATGCATTATTTTTATTTTATGGTTCAGTAATAGTGATAGAAGGCAGGTTTTTCTGAAGGGTTTTTTATCCAAAATATCAATCGAATACTCAAGGAGAAAAAAATAAAGCAATAAATCATTGGTTGGTTGTTTTTTTAACAGTCACAGAATCATGATCAACATGCAATGTATACCAGCAGCCTTTACTAACTCGTTGATCAGTTTGTACAGTACTGTTTTCTCATTTCATTTTGTTTGTATAACCGCTTATTTTACTCATTTGACCTTAAGACGGAATCCACCAGGAAATTGAATGATTTTGATTTTCAATGGACAAAAACCTTGTACGAGAATAATTTAAAGCATATTGCATTCTTTTTTACATTTTTTAAGGGCTAAAGATGTAATTAGTCATCTGTAATAATACCGAAGAAAATTTCCTATAGAAGCCCAAGAAATAGAGAATACTTCATGGAAAGTGCTGGCGTACGGTATTTACGCACGAGTTGTTGACGTATCAGAAATCGAACGAGTGAGCGCAGCGAACGAGTAAGATTTCTGATACAAAAACAACGAGTGCGTAAATACCGTACAAAGCACTTTCCATGTGGTATTGTGTTTATTATATACATACTGAGACATTCATCATTTTGGCGGCCTTTTTATTTTAAATCTTTCAAAAATGCTAAAATTTGCTGCTACACACTTACCGCAAAATCACAACGAAAACGAAGTATCAGCTTTTTAGTAAAAACGTTTGTTAAAAACATAAATGACGGTGAGGATATGAGGTAATCCAAGAACTACAATTTAGTAATCTTAACTGTTCGTTCTTAATGCACAATTGAAAATGAGTGAATTTAAGTAAAATGGCCGGTTTCAGTATAAGCTTAAGCTTAAATGAAAGGCAAAGTAGCTCAGACAAAAAGCACAACAAAAGCTTACGTCTCGTTCTGTTTATCCCTTTCCGCTGTTGTTTCGCCGGCTCTCTACCGTTTTCTTTATCGACAGTGAAACAAACGAAACTATTCCACTCCATTTCGAAATGTTTTTCACTTTTTTAGCGAGAAAAACTCTTTGAGTAAAACTTTTCTCGTTGAATGTGTGCGAAGCGGCGCTGCAAGCTGCAATAAAAGGCGGGAATTTTGGCGCCAAACTCACACACCTCTGTGGCTTCTGATTGGACGTATCATTTTTCTCACACATGAAAAAACATCGTTCGCGATTCTGATTGGACGTATCATTTTTTTCACGTGTGAAAACCATCGTTCGCTCCTCTGATTGGCTAGAACTAATCTGCGTACGAAAATTTACGACATAGCTTTTTGGTGAGTATTTCTCAGTATGTATATAATAAAATAAAATGCCAAATTTCACAAAATTGCATCTTTCACATGAAATTTTCAGAACTAAATTAAAATTACTCAATTTTCCGGTGGATTCCGTCTTAATACTAGGCCTATTTTTTGGCCTGCTATTCCAAACCAACTGTTAACTCACTTTTGTAGCACAATATATGCCATGCCACGTCAAGCTGTTTAAATTCCATGGTTGTTTTGTTTACAGTGAAGATGTCTTCTCAAGCTATGCTTGCAACTCATTAAATCATAGAGGAATTAAACATCATCTGGGGGATATTGGAGAAGCTGGTTGCTTGGCGGTAAGTATGTATACTACATGTTTTTTGAAATAGCTTGAAAATCAAACCAAATTTGTCCCTAGTGTGGTTAAACAAGCATTAGACCTTGTTTGAGGCAGAATTTTCTTTGTTTCCTAGCCTCAACAAAGAGAAGTCATTATGTCATGTTGCCCTGCTTACTAGCAAAATTCCTGGATCTCAGCAAACTGTGGCCCTGCAATTATATGGGAGAAAAAAATAGGACTGTATGACTTTCCTATGATTGCACTTAGGACTTTTCTTTCATCATCCAAAAATACAAATCGTGAAATGGCCATTTCTGTCTTGAAAGAAGGACAGTTGAGATCCAGAAATCTTGTTACATGATTGTAAAGTGATATCACGCTTTTCCCAATTATTTGTAGGGGACAAAGATAACATTATTCCATTTTATCTGAGAACAGTTTATTCTCACAATGTTCAACTGTCTGCGCTATTGATATTTTTGTTTTTAAAAAGGTTGTTTCATTTTGCGGGTTTTACTGATGATTATCTTTTTAAAGTAAACGCACAATAAAATGGCTACTGATTTAATGTATGTCCCCTCTCTTTTCTAGGCACAGCAGCTACCACAAGCTAAATACTAGTCATTGTTTAAATCGCTTCCACAAGATTTAGTAGAGACAGGTGATGATAATTGACATATTTACTTTGACCAACATTCCGGTTATTCTCTTGTTTCTTTAAGTCTCTGTTACTTGTGGCTCTCAAGTTCTCTTAGTTTCCTTTGCTCTGTGGCTCTCTGTTATGCCTGGTTTTCCTGATTCTCATGGTTGGTATTTCTCATGGCTCTTCCTGTTATCGTTGTTCTTGTACATGTAGTTCTCATCGGTTTTGTGATCCTCCACAAGTACATGAACCAGCCTCTGAGGACTACAAGAACCACAGAAACAGGAGACCAATGAATCATGATGCCAATAAGAAGTAGCAAACCATTTTAAATTCAAGAATCAGAAGAACCCATGAGACCATTGAGACCCTGGCAAAAAAATGATGATACCGATGAAAACATGTGCGACCATTCAAATGAGACCTCTTCAACAGTTACTGTACTTTTACATGGCATCAGACTAAAAAACTAATGGTTTTTTCCACATTTACATGTAAAAACTCTTTAAAAATGAAAGTTGAAATTTTTGTTGAATTGGACACTTAGGTCACTTCTTGAAAAGAAGGGGTTTACATATAGTTGGGTTTTACTTACAGCAGCTTTGCCCCCCTCCCCCCTCCCCCCTCCTTTAATCAGACACCAAAGGGACAGAACCAAGTGTCCACTTTACAGAGCTGTCTGCTTTAATTATTGAGGTAAAGTAATATGTATAAAGTTAGATGCCTTTAAGCTATATATGTGCAAGAGAGAGAATTGTTGTGTCCATTTGCACATGGCTAAAAGTTTGTGTAACAACTCCCAACAACATGCAACAACATTGCAACAACATGCAACAGGGTGTGCCAATGGACGCAACATGTAACATTCAACAATGTTGAGACCTGTTGGCCGACAATGTTGCATACATTTGCATGAGGCTGTAGGATGAAAAGACCTTATAGAGGTGTTTGCATGGAGGCGTTTGATCATATTTTAGGTGATAATTTTGTAATAATATTGATAAAGGGAAATGTTGATAAGCCTATTTTTTTTTTGTTTACATCAGGCAAACTAAGTGATTTGCAACTGGAAGGAGTTTTGTAAGCTGTAAGTATAATTATCACCTTATTAGTATCAAGAACTCTGTCAACATTTGTCGGCTTTTGTATTGCTCTTTCTTCTGTCCACGTAAAGCATTTAAAGTATTTGGGAAAAGATGGATTTCCAGCTAAAAATAAATTCATTACAAAAAAGGCCCTTCCAGCTGCTGGGGAGATGTGGTAGCAGAGAGTGTGTTATTGCACAGTCGTGGTCTTGAGTAATAAAATCAAGTTAAACAGCATGAAAAATTCATTTTATAAACTGCTGTTGATTTTTTTTTAATAGTGTCAGAGACATCAGATGGTCCTTGCCAATGGACAGAGAGCTGGATTCTTTATAGGGGATGGTGCTGGGGTTGGAAAAGGAAGACAAGTGAGTACATTTTGTTTTTGTACAATTTCATGCTGTTAAGTCGATGAACTGTTACTTTGTTTATTTAGACAAAAATCAAGAACAATGGCCATTTTCACTGAGGTGCAAATTTACCTCATTTTCATGTTTGCAAAAGCACTTGTCTCGTTTTCATTTTAAAACCATTTGATATCACTTGTATTTTCCATTGCCTCCACATTGCGTCCAAACCATGTTAAACCACTCAAGAATTGGAGTTGCTATGGCATTTTATTAATCTTTGATCAGCTGGTAGGGTGTGACAGTTGGTACGGGCGTGCAAAAGAACATACATGGTTGATCATACAACCTTGAAAAGGTCTTAATTCTACTACTGTCATCTTGAAAAGTCCTTGAATTTGGTTTAGGTCCTTGAAAAGTACTTGATTTCTTTATTAGGTCATAAAAAGTCCTTGAAATTCACAACCTTGTCTACGTCAGACATCTTTTTCTGTAAAATTAGATTATTTTGCCGAGGAAAATTCGGCTCATCCTCGGTGTAAGATTTGACCTGTAAAACTCACGGGTAACTATGCTTAATTTCTGCACCTCAGATGCAATTGCACGTCATACCCAGTCATTTTGCAAAGTCTTGTTATGGAAAGGAGTATAAAATAATGTGATCAATGATATGGCCAAAGAAGTCAAAGTCGTAAATGACTCCATGACATGTTTTAGCCAATAGGGTGATCAAAGGGGGTTAAAGAATGCCTACGATTTAACAGAAATATCGTAGTCCTGGAAAACTGTAATTTGTCCTTGAAAAATTCTTGAAATGTCCTAGAAATTTGTTTGTTTGAAGTTGTACAAACCTTGAATGTAGAACTGTTTGACTTTAAGCCCATTAAATTTGTAGTCAAGATTACACTCCAGTTGTTTTCTACTGTAGATTGCTGGCATTGTTGGACAATTTTGCACGTGGAAGATCCAGACATATATGGTTTAGTATTTCAGCTGACCTACGATTAGATGCCCAAAGGTGTGTTCAGATTATTCTTTAGCCAAAGTCTGATTATGTATTCAATGGAATTTTGACCTTTTAAGTCAATGATTTTAACCCATTCACTCCTAGGAATTTTTGCAAAAAATACCTTTTAAAAAAGTCTACTCTCTATGACTTATTGGCAAGGTAGGTTTTATTACAGATTAGAAGTCATAAACAGGATTTTCTTTTTCAAAATCATCTTCTGGTCCCTCAGTCGATCCTACAGGATGCAGGCAGTAAATTATTTTGCATCTTTGGAGATCTGATGCATCAGGGGCACAGGATGCACAGGCAGGGGTAACAAAATCACTGCAGCATTAATCCCTATAGCAGTTTGTTACACAATCAGGTTTGCTGGTAATTGCTCTCTCTCTCTCTGTATAGCTGTAAAATACTATAACCCAAGAAACTGACAAATTTCTGATTGTTTTTCATTTGTCAGAGATTTACATGACATTGATCGATTTAAGACTTAGTCTATTTCTTAAATCGATTTAAGCTTAAATCGATATAAGCTTAAATCGATTTAAGACTTAGTATATTTCTTAAATCGATTTAAGCTTAGTCGTTAAATCTATTTAAGCTTAAATCGATATAAGATTAAATCGTTTTAAGACTTAGTCGTTTATTTCTTAAATCGATTTAAGCTTAATCGTTTTAAGACTTAGTCGTTAAATCTATATAAGCTTAAATCGATATAAGCTTAAATCTTTTCAAGGGGACGTAATTATTCAAAATGTCTTAATACAGCGATGAAGATTATTCTATTTAAAAATTAATTTACGACCCAGTCTTATTGATCATATCGACTCCATAAATCAACTTATTTAAATAGACTTACAATCGATCAATTTGACTGAATATCGGCATTAGCGAAATCGATTTAACTATAAATATACTAAGCCTTAAATCAAAACTAAATTTAACCAAATTCAACGAAATCTTAAATCGATTAAAGCTTAATTTAACTAAATAAGTCTTAAAACTATTTAAGCTTATATCGATTTAAGCTTATATAGATTTAACGACTAAGTCTTATATCGATTTAAGCTTAAATCGATTTAACGACTAAGTCTTATATCGATTTAAGCTTATATCGATTTAAGCTTAAATCGATTTAACGACTAAGTCTTAAAACGATTTAAGCTTAAATAGATTTAACGACTAAGTCTTAAAACGATTTAAGCTTATATCGATTTAAGAAAAAATAGATTTTACGACCAAGTCTTAAATCGATTTAAGCTTATATCGATTTAAGAAATAAAGGACTAAGTCTTAAATCGATTTAAGCTTAAATAGATTTAACGACTAAGTCTTAAAACGATTTAAGGTTATATCGATTTAAGCTTAAATACATTTAACGACTAAGTCTTAAAACGATTTAAAGCTTATATCGATTTAAGAAATATACTAAGTCTTAAATCGATTTAAGCTTAAATCGATTTAACGACTATGTCTTAAATCGATTTAAGTTTCATTTAACAAGGTCTTAAATCGATTTAACTATGTAGATTTAGAACGATTTATTTTAATTTTAAGTTATGTATTTTTATTATAAAAACTATATAATGCTGTTTGTTTTCATTGTGCCAGCCGCTGATAAATATTTTTACCCTGTTAAATAAATTTACGTAGTTACGTATATTTATTTATTAAATTTATATAACACCCTATGGCCAGCTGCTGATAATGATCCGAACATCCATTAACATGCCGACATTGAAGTTTATCTTTTTTTAAAATAAAGAGAATAACAGCGATTGTTCTACATAAAGTTTGCACGGACAGCAGCCAAATGATGTTTTGATTCGTTGCAACAGCCTAACATCGCTCACCTTGACGTTTTGTCCATGATCCACGATCTGCCGTCACTGTTTTCATGAAAGAAATCAACCCAATTTTACCTTGGTCGTCGTTAAATTTACAATGGACTAAGGAACGTACATCATCGTGAACGTTTGAATCTTGTAAATACATGCACCCCCAGCTCAGATTCTTGTATCTGTGTTGCTTGCTCTGGTTCGATTCGTCGGTACTTCCGCGTAGAATTCACTGAACAGTGCCGTTGTTTACAAATACCTTTGAGCTGTTCCATCCAAAAACATCAACAGAACTTCCACCTCGAAACACTGAACTAGATGCTAAACACTTACAATGTATGAATGTTTGCGCCTTTCATTCAACGGTCGCAAATGTTTGTCCAGCGATGTAATGTGATCTGATGCAAAAGTGCCGACCAATTAGATTACAGCCTAGAATGTCTCCAGGAATTAGCGATAACATTCCCACACTCGCCAGTCACGGAATAAAATTTATTGAAATCTTTATTCCAAAAGCATAGAATTTGGAGGTTTATTCAATAAGTGATCTTCCCTGCGTACAAGCTTACTCACATTTCTTAGAGGTACAGTCAAAGTTTTCTCGTTATGAAAGCCGTAATCTGTGGCAAAAGGCTTTTTCTGGCGGTTCATGTTATGAGCGCTCAAGAACGTTGTGCTATCAGATCCAGCGTAGCTGAATTGTAGCGTTACTGCAGCTATTGAAAGTCGGCAACTGCGCTGCAAAACTGCTGCCGAGAGCTTCAAAGGCAGCACCAGCGCTTTTGCATCCCGCTGCAACTTGATTAAGCTGTTGTTTGGCTTCTAAATGCTGCTAAACAGCTGTAATTTAGCTGTACAGCTATTTTGTGGCGCCGTACAGCGCTGCAAGTTTCGTACGGGTTTGCTCTCCAGGGTTTTAATTTTGAAGATCTTTAAGTCCTTATTTGGTATCTGCAGCGTTGTGCAGCGATAATGCAGCCTCAAGCGTCGCTTGTATTCAGGTTGTCATATGGAGTGGTTTCAATGTTTTATATATCTAAGTCTCATTGCAGCTTTTAAGCAGCGGCCCGCAGCGCTGCTTTACCGTGGCAAAATTTTGCAGCGCTTTCGCAGTGCACGAAATGTGACGTTCTCTGCTTTAGCGACTCACGAGCACTGCTTTACAGACGCTTAAGCGCTGTGCAACCATAAAAGTGAACTGCTGCAGCGCTGCGGCAGCGTTGCGTCGTTCGTACGGGCTATAGCAGTTTGTTATGAAATCAGGGATGCTGGTGATTGCTATCTCTGTATAGCTGTAAAATACTATACACCCTAGAAACTGACAAATTTCTTATTGTTTTTCATTTGTCAGAGATTTACATGACATTGGTTGTTTTGTCAAAGTGATAGACGGTTGTCAGCAGCTGGATAAAGAAACCAGGTACACAAACTCGAATACCACGGGTACATTATTTAGAGTAGGGCTAGAAGGGCCATGCCCTCCCCTGCCTTTTTGTCTTAAATCTTGTTAAATTTCAGAAAAAATTCTCTCAACGTCTGTCTTCCAGAATCTCAATTTTTGGATGAAATGCTCAGAATTCTCTCTCTTTTGGAATTTTTTAAATCTTTCTCTGAATACTACAAGTTATCTACACTGGCTGGTGTCTGTTGTTATCATTATGTAACACAATATATTCTTATACATAAATTCCTTTTCTTAATAATTATTTTCTAAGAGTTCTTTTTCAAACCAATCTGTGCATGCATGTTGCATTAATTTTCATTTTCCTTCAATTCAGGTGTATTATTTTTTCCCCAAGTGATAATTTGATCCAAAATCTTTCCAAGCCAACTATTGCTTCCTACAGTGTAAAAGAAAGGAGAAGTCACACTACCATGGTAGCAAAATTTCTGGGTCTCAACAAACTGTGGTCCTGCCAATATGGTGGGGAAAAAACAACAACAAAAAATTTTTTGTGCATTATTGCACTTAGGAATGAAAGGGTGGCTGGTATTTTCCTTCCATCATTTGACAATACATGGCCATCCGTCTCTGTCAAGGAAGATTATTTTTGAGATCCAGAAATTTTGCTTCCATGGTAACATGGCATCACACATCTCCTCTCTATAGAAGCAATATTCTCTGATTTCTTTGACAATAATTATAGATCAGCTGGAATTTTGAAAGAAATCCAATACTATTGACATTATTTTGTTTTGCAGAGTATTTGGCTTACCTGCTGATTTTAAAGAGGGTGTTGTCTTCAGTACATATGCAACACTGGTGTCGTCTGTTCAAAAAGGTGAGCGTGTAGTGTGAATGTCATCTATCACTGACAATAGACAAGGTTCCTGTTTTTGTTGATCTGTTTTATAATTGTTTTTTTTTGGACAGGTGCCAATCGTCAGAGCAGATTGCAACAGCTCATAGACTGGTGTGGTGGTGAGCAGTTTAATGGATGCCTCATATTTGACGAGTGTCATAAAGCAAAGCATTTTGTTCCTGTAAGTGATTTACAGTAGTTTAGCCCTTATTCTTTGTATTCGTAACTGCAACAAATACATGTAAATCCCTTATTTAGGGCAAAAAGCATGGTTTATTAGAAACTGCCACTATCTGATCATCATTATACAAGTTACGTTTCGTATGAAGTGGATGAGAGGACAACAGTTTGTGTTCCCTTTACATTACATACAGTTCGCATAAAGCATGGCTGGGCACTGGGTTTCTTTAGAATGGAATTGGTCTTGTTACACTCATTAATAAATGCACAACCATTACACTCTCCACACAAATTCACTGACCAGTGATGCATATTGACACTAGCGACAGATGTTACAAGTCATGGATTCAACTAAGTACTCTGCTCAATGTAGCTTATTTCATTTTAGGGCAAAGAAGAATCCAGCACAAAAGTTGCTCTTGCTGTCACAACAATACAAAGGTATGATAAAGTTATTTGACTTCATTTTTGAATATCAATTGTCAGCATGTAATTAACACTCTTATGTAATAATTAAAGTGCTAATAATTTTACAATTTGAAAGAAGCAGGGAGCAGGGATGGAGCAGTTGTGATCGAGCACTTGCCTCCCACCAATGCAGCTCGAGTTCAATTCCCAGGGTTGATGCCAGAAACGTTGGGAGGGGAGGTGTGGAGGTGTTGCACATGTACATTTTATATGAAAGGAGGATTTGATATCATGTCAAGTGTCACTAAGGGCGTTGTTCCGCGCACCCTTCAATACAAATATTAGAATATGTAATAGTTATTATTAAAAACTGAATCATTGGATAATGCAATTCTAGAGCTCTGTTGGCTTAGCCATCATGGTATGTGAGCCATTGTACCATGCTCTGCAAATAATTAATTAAAAGTAACCGTACGCGTCTGCTGAATGTTAAAAACGAGCTGAAAATCGGTTGTTTTTACAAATAAAGTCAGGAAGAATTCTCGATATTTTGCGGGCGTTTTTAATAAAACAATTATTTCACTGAAGCTTATAGGATATGAGATAATTATAGCCAACTCATATCTAACAAGCACTTGTGGAATAATTGTTAAATATACCTGACCTCCTTACCGTCTCCACAGAGTTCCCCCCCCCTCCCCTACAGTAACTGCTGTGCCCAAATTTTCTCTTCTTTACAGATTTATTCTTTTTTCACTTCATAGAATGCTACCCAAAGCTCGTGTTGTGTACTGTAGTGCAACTGGTGTGACAGATGTAAAAAATGTGGTAGGTGTAGAGTGAAGTATTATTTTTATATAATTGACAATAACGTGATTTTGACTGAGTGTCAGAAAACAGCATGTTACTATTAAAAGGTATCCAACTAGTTTTTCGCAAACAGTGCACTAAGTAAAGGTTGGCATGTACCTTTTAAAACTACGCTGTACGCAGTTAGCATCTTATGTTATGCCACTGTACAAAGTTAAAACTTTAAAGTGAAACTTGATCTTGCGACTTGATCTTGTACCTGGGAACAAAGATTTTTTAAGGCGAAATACCGTCGGTTGCATCAGAGCGTGGACACGAGACAAAAAAAAACATGTTCTAATAGAGCGCCAGACATGACGTGTTTTGCCGCCAAACATCTGAAGTTTGACAGCCGTTAACGCAAACTGTCAAGCCAAAGGTAAGTTTGTAGCCAATCAGAACATGTTTTTTTCTCACGTGTACACCCTTAGATGCAGCCAACATTAATTATATGATCGTCGGGATGAGTGTACTGAACAGGACTGTTGTTGACAGTGATTGACGTTTTGACAGGTCTTCAGGCCCTATCCACATGTATCCGGACAGTTTTGAAAATGAAGACTTTCTTCTCCATTCTTGCGTCCATGCACACATAAACGGCCTTTTCAAAAACAGACCCATAGTGGAGATTTTTTAAAACGCTGGCTTCTCGTTTAAAGTGGGCCGTCGAAAACGGAGATTTGTGAACACGATTATGTCATGCACCATATACTACTAGCATTACGCATGCTCTGTAAGGGCTGCTATCGTATTTCCATCGTTTTAGGGTTTTCATGTGGACAGGCAAAAACGATTCAAATACGATTCATGTAGACGCCTATTTTTTTTTTGAAAATCGAGAAAAAATCCCCATTTTCCAAAATATCCGGATACGTGTGGACAGGGTGTCAGGGTCAAAGTCAGTTGTATCACCTCAGTTGATGGTATTAAACTCTGGTTCAAGGTACATGATTTCTAGGTACTCAGTAGAAGAGCATAAAGACTCTTCACTGAGTGTTGCATGAAGTTTTTAAACCCCACAATAATTGCTGAGAGATTATTACGGCAACCACGTTTAGAAGCCTTAGGTTTCTGACAATGTTCCCATTCAGTCCAATGGTCAATCAATACAGTACACTGATACAGTGATTTGATTATTTTCAGGCATTTATGGAGAGACTTGGTTTATGGGGAGATGGAACAGCATTTAAATCGTTTGATTCTTTTCTAGCCAGCATAACCAAGAGAGGTCTTGGTAAGTGGTATAGTTTTCAGCCTAGAGAACAGGAAGAAAAAAAGGACAAAGAGGGAGAGAGAGGAAGGAATTTCGCCCTCACTCCTTACCCCACTCCTCGCTGTTTTTTCTGCACACATCTCCTTGCATCGTCCTCACAATCTGAACTCCTGGAACAGGAGCTTACACTTCTCCATTGGCAGAAACGATGTATCTCAAGGTCACTAATATTTAAAATCTTTCCAGGTGCTTCTGAAATGTTAGCTATGGAAATGAAGGCATCAGGGATGTACGTTTCTAGAGGTCTTAGTTTCAGACAGGCTGAGGTAATGCATTATTCTAGAAATGGCATCGTAATATTCTGTTGTAAGCAGAAGTTTTCCTATCATACTGAAATATAAGGCTTTTTTTGCAGTGCTTATTACTTCACTTCTGTTCCTTTTTTGTTAACAAACTTTGATAATGCTTTTTTGTCGCATTTCTGCAGTTTGTTAATGTTGAGGCGACACTGACTGCGGAACAGAGAAAGGTTTATGACACTGCAGTTCACGTTTGGTACGTGTGGCAATGTAAAAAGGTTAAATCTTCGTATTAACTGCTTTAAGTAGACCACAACTTAAGATGGAATCATTCAGTGGTTTCTTGTACCAGGGCTCCGGGATTAACTTATGCGATTTCGTAGAAATTGCACTCAAAACTTGTGCGTTTGTTTGAGTCAAAGCAAAAGCAAAACAACAATCACAGTCGGTATTCTAAGAATTAACGGTTGTGTGTATCTTTCACAATCATAGTGTGAATATGTTTCAGTTTTTTTCCTTTTCTCTTTAAAGGAGCGATTTAAAGAAGTCATGAGAATTTGCCATTGGTCGCACCACCCCTTCTACACCAAGGGTGTGGTCAGTCTTTTGGTCCTGTCATCAGCGGTTCTTCAAACAGCTCTGGTGAGTATTTAATCCCGTCTCTGGTCCTTTAGGGGCGGATATTACAACAAAGTTTAAACGTTATTTAACAAAAACCGTTCTAACGCTCATACCTTGTCATCGTTTGCTGTTCACATCAACAAGAAGGCGACAGCCTAAATTAGAAAACCATTTATCTACTTAAAATCAATACCCTACAAACGAATAAGGAGGCGCTCTGATTTTTAGACCTCGTTTAAATAGTCGACCTTAAGTTTCACCTTAACATTTTTGCCTTCTTATTTCCCGTAATGTTGTCCTTGATTCTAGTTCATCGGCCTATTTAAAGTTGTACATAAGACTAAATCGGTATCGTCTCCAATGGTACTGTGGGACTGTTTGCAGACGCTATCGCCTTTTTATTGGATGTTACGAGGTTACGAGGGAAACTGGGTCAAAATTCATCCCCAAAACAGTCCCATAGTGCAGTTCGACTCAACACCGACCCATGTCCAAGCGAGGTTAAGTACAAAACCTAAAAAAAAGTAAACGAATTTCATTTGTATAAGAATTAAACATTGAACATTCAACGTTGTTTTTTCGATTGCATTGTATCACAGAGGAACAGTTTTATGAATGGAACAAAACTTGTTGCCATCATATCTGATGCCGCCAGCACTGGTAGGTTCCCTTTGCATCTTGATTCGTTTGAAGTTACCTGGTTTAAACCTTGCACTTTTTAAATTCTTTTAATACTTGAAATTTGAGGGCAACCTTGAAGTTATTTCCACACAAAGAATCGCTGGCTCAGTGTCTGTTAGCGTTCAATTGAGTTGCCATTACTTGGAATTTCGTGTAGAGACTCGAAATTTAGAGTGATGTTTCTTGACTTAAAGTTCTACTCAAGCAGGAATAAAAGGTTTTCCTCGGGTAAAAGGAACCGCAATAAATAACGTGTATAAGTGACAAGACAAGACGATAATTTACTTGGGGTCGTATACCACCTGGTACGTCGACTGTTTTCCAAATGATTTAATATTACAATATTCTGTGTGATATCATTTGTAAGACTCATTGAATTACACAGGTATCTCGTTACACGCGGATCTCCGAGCAGCCAATCAGTGCCGCCGTATTCACGTGACCATTGAGCTGCCTTGGAGTGCTGACAAAGCTGTTCAACAACTGGGAAGATCACACCGGTCAAACCAGACAAGGTACATGCACTGCCCAAACACAAACGTTCCTAGCTATCCCTTTGATATAAGCTATTTCCTAAAGAAGAAGGAAATGGTTGCGCGCTGCACGTTTACCATTTTTTAATTGTACCTCCGCTTGATTAGCCTTGTTGGAAGGGTAGCGTTCTGCCAAGCAGGTTTAAACCCGCCGTTTAAACCCAACACCAACCAGGGTCTTCAAAAAACTGATCATATCATGCTGCCTGTTATCTAAGATCTTGTCTCAGTCCAGATGATCTGATAGTCACGTCAGTGGGCGGTGATGTTAATCCATTGGCCTTGTCTTATTCATCCTTTCTTAACAATTCGAAGGGGACGTAAAAAGAACCCACACTGCTGTTGGAGAAGAGAGTGAGAGGTAGACCTCTGTGATGTGGTTTATCTCTCACGTGGAAGGGAACTGTCACGAGGCACAATACTTGGCTTCACGCTTTTGCGGTTACCCTGCCAAGAATTGGACAGTCTAGTAAAACAAAAAATAAAATTCCTTGTGATTAAAAATCTGAAGGCTTTCCTGGAATATCACTACTCCCATAATATCCTGTGTACAGCCGCCTTCTCCCCTTGGGAAAAATCGGGAAAAGGAGGGGGCGGTTTTTACACAGGCTACCCCATGATCACTTTTCTTTCGCCAAAATCCCCTTTGTACCATGGGAGTCAGAGGAGGGAGATATCACGTGATAATGTTGACCGTCTAATTGGCGCGCTCGGGGGCTCCGCTTTTCTCCAGAGTTTTACTGGCTCTAATGTTTTCTTTGTTTTGTTTTGTTTTTTTTAGTGGACCTATCTATAAACTTGTAACAACAAACTTGGGCGGTGAAAGAAGATTTGCTGCGGCTGTGGCTCGACGGCTTCAGTCGTTAGGTAATGTTTAAATGTTTGTCAAACTCGGAAAATCGTGAACATCTGACGTATTTGTGAATTATTCTCACTCAGTTGCAAGGAAAAAGCTAATCAGACATAAAACAAAGAAGCTGCAAGTATCAGCGGTAATTAGTTTGAGAAAGATGATTTTAAGTCTGACACAGGCGGCTGGAAATGAAAAAATCCGAGTACACCCATCCAACAGGAGTTAAAACTTTTATCATCTGTTTACTAGCCCGGCCAGATGCTCTACCATTAAGCTACAGGGGTCACGTGGGAGCTAAGGTCACTAAACTAGGTCCATGTGGCAAACATCCTGCATACTTCTAGGACTAAAATGTCGATATGTACTGATGCAATATGATAAGAGATGTGATGGCAGGGTGCAAAGAAAATCATTTTTATAGCTTGCCATTCGGGCAAGCTGAAGCTAGCATTTACTAGCCCAGACATCATTTTAACTAGCCCTAAAAGCTTTTTGACCAGCAGAATTGATTTCACAGTTCTTCCTTTATCCGAATTGCTCAAAAGACATCACTTGCTTATTGGGCAAGTTAAAAAGAGAATTCACCAGCCTGATAACAAAATCCACTTGCTCCGAGCTATCGGACACTGCTTTCTTTGCACTCTTGATGGTGAATTTTGAGCCTGGTGAATACATGAGAAATATGATTTTTCAGTCAGTGACACAGGCGGCTTGGAAGAAAAACATCCGATTACTCCCAGTAGGCGGTCAAACTTATAACATTCTGGTTACTAGTCCAGATGCTCTACCACTGAGCCACAGGAGAAGTTTTGGAGCTAAGTTCATGTGCAAACATCCTGTATGTAATACTGCTAGATTGTCTAGAACTAGTCCTAGCAGAATACAGTCGAAGCTCTCCATGCGACCACTCTCGTGGTCTAGTTACGACCACCTTTGTGAAACCCCGTTTGGACAGTGACTTAAACAATTTAGTGAAAAAGCTCTTGTAAGCGACCACTCCAGTAAGCGGCCGTGAACGCTTTTGGGATTACCCAAATGGACGGGGTGGTCGCTTACGAGAGCTTCGACTGTATCTAGAACGTTCTTATCCTAGCAGTATGCTGGATGTTTGTCACGTGAACCTAGTTTAGTGGCCTTAATTATTTGTAGCTCAGTGGTAGAGCATCTGGACTGGTAGCCAGAAAGTCATAGGTTTTCTTTTGTTTTCCCAGCCAAAAGCATCAATCCATTCAACTAAACAGCCTTGACAGAGCCCCTTTAAGTTTTTGTTTTGTTTGCCTGCAGGTGCACTTACCAAAGGTGACAGACGAGCAGCGACTGGGGCCGACTTAACGCAGTTTAATTTTGACACGCCTTACGGCCGATCTGCACTCAGGAACATGTACCAAGCCATTACTTTGGTATGTCAGATAGCCTGTTTCGGGATAAAAGATAATAGCGTAGTAACTAGCTAAATTGTTTTTTTATTCTCGATATTTTTGACCAACTAGTTGGATTTTACTAAAACAATTATTCCTCTCGCCCTCATGGCCTCTTAGCCAATAGCCCATTCGGCCTTCGGCCTCATGGGCTATTGACTCAGAGCCCATTCGGGCTCGGGGAATAATTGCTAAAAATCCCACGTTAAAGCACCCCCCGGTTTTAAACCCTCTCCCGGATCTAAGTCCATCTCTTTGCTAACGAAGATATTACATATTCCGGATACAAGTCCCCCGGATATAATCCCCCCCGCCCCTATTTATAAGCCTACCCAAAACCCCTCAAGACGTTATATAAGCCCAGGGTTTTAACGTGAGATTTTACGGTACCGGTATGTCAGAAGTGGTCACGAATTAGAACCATGTGTACTTGTTGCTTGTGTCATGTACGACCGAGCGTTTTTTATTTGAACTTGGGACTTATTTTGCCTTTTTTTTTTTCAGCAATCCATTTGTCCCGGAGTTGCTTTGTCTAAGGTTCTGTTAGCAGCACAAATTCCCGGCAAGCATGAATTCACAGAGTTTAACTCCATCGCAAGGGTGAGTTTTACTTCGTTGGTCGCGAACGTGGTTAAAATTCTTGTTTAATTTCTCTCCTTAAAAGTGGATTTGGAAACCAAATTTATGATGTCAGAGACAGTTTTATATGGCAGTTAGGCAGCGATATTGCTTCATAAAAATTTCGGGCAACACGTGGGAATGGATAAAAGAAAAACGTCATTTTGTAATAACATATAATGCGATCAGTAAAAAATGACTTGATAGGAAAAATTAGAGGGACCTTGAATAATGGCAACTCAATACCCCAACAGCTATTTTGTAACCACCAACAATTTCTGCAGCTTTAGGAAACCTTTGTGGAAACAGGAGATACATTAGTAGCCTGTTTATAATAATAATAAGCATTTGGAAAAATGTAAGCTCCTTGTTTGTCTTGTCCCATCGCGTTTCTTGTTCCTCAGCATGGCGTATTTGTACCACGTGACTAAAGCACTACAAAGCGCCCATTTCGTTCGGTAGTCTAGCCCGCGCCATAGACGAAACTAAACTCTGGTTAAGTCTGTCTACGAAAAAGCGCCGAAATCCTTGTTCTGGGCCCCACTTGTGTACCAGGATTTGAGTATGCGCTATGATTGGCCTTTTAAAAATGCCATTGTCCATTTGCCAATCAGGTTGAAAAGAAACTGGAAACGCACTTCTGGCAAAACGCTTATTCCGTTGTGGGCCCAGAAATAGGATCTCGGCGCTGTTTCGCAGACATTACCCGGAATTGCCTCTTAAAAATATGAAAAAATCAAATCGGCAAATTTAAATTTACGCAACTCAGCATAAAAGCGACTCTAGCATAGGAGGATTTGAAGATTTTAGTCCAGCATAGGGTAGAAAACTTCAGCTGCACTAGCTTTAGTATAGGCTAAGGGTTACAGGGTCCCGGCGGCACATCCCCGCCCAAAAAATCCTGAAAAAGTACCCCCCCGGGGGGGGGTTAGATTACATATGCGACGTAGGCTATTGCAATTGGTAGTCCAGTTTCACGTTAGTGGTGACTTGTGAAGAAAGTCTTTCTCAAAGGTGGTCCATTACATTTACCGAGGTGTCCAAATGACTGAATTACTCTCAAGTTTAACAAAGCCCTGTTTTCTTTGATTTCACAGCAATGTCTTCTGTCCATGGGAGTAACAGAAGCCAGTTTCGTTGTGAAAGACAAAGACGCCAGCGATGTGGGAAAATTTCTCAACCGTATTTTGGGTCTTAGTGTGGAAAGACAAAATTTGGTAAGTACAAAGGTCTTTCCTGTTTGGTGGCAATGAAACGTACGTTTGAGGGGAAGTTCTGGGACTACCCTTGTTTCCTAACTTTTTCTGCTATTTGAACCCCTGTCGTGAATTTTATCTGTCGATTTCTCAGTCTTCTTTTATCAGTCGATTTCCCACTCTTCTTTTATCGATCGATTTCTATATCAGTCTTCTTTTATCGTTCGATTTCCCACTCTTCTTTTATCGATCGATTTCTCAGTCTTCTTTTATCGTTCGATTTCCCACTCTTCTTTTATCGATCGATTTCTCAGTCTTCTTTTATCGATCGATTTCTCAGTTTTTTTTTTTATCGATCGATTTCTCAGTCTTCTTTTATTGATCGATTTCTCAGTCTTCTTGTATCGATCGATTTCTCAGTCTTCTTGTATCGATCGATTTCTCAGTCTTCTTGTATCGATCGATTTCTCAGTCTTCTTGTATCGATCGATATCTCAGTCTTCTTGTATCGATCGATTTCTCAGTCTTCTTGTATCGATCGATTTCTCAGTCTTCTTTTATCGGTCGATTTCCCACTCTTCTTTTATCGATCGATTTCTCAGTCTTCTTTTATCGGTCGATTTCCCACTCTTCTTTTATCGATCGATTTCTCAGTCTTCTTTTATTGATCGATTTCTCAGTCTTCTTTTATCGGTCGATATTCCACTCTTCTTTTATCGATCGATTTCCCACTCTTCTTTTATCGATCGATTTCTCAGTCTTCTTGTATCGATCGATTTCTCAGTCTTCTTTTGTCGATCGATTTCTCAGTCTTCTCTCATCGGTCGATTTCTCAGTCTTCTTGTATCTATCGATTTCTCAGTCTTCTTTTATCGATCGATTTCTCAGTCTTCTTGTATCGATCGATTTCTCAGTCTTCTTGTAGCGATCGATTTCTCAGTCTTCTTGTATCGATCGATATCTCAGTCTTCCTGTATCGATCGATTTCTCAGTCTTCTTGTATCGATCGATTTCTCAGTCTTCTTTTATCGGTCGATTTCCCACTCTTCTTTTATCGATCGATTTCTCAGTCTTCTTTTATCGATCAATTTCTCAGTCTTCTTTTATCGTTCGATTTCTCAGTCTTCTTGTATCTTTGTCAGAACTAGCCGGCCAAACTGGTCATAATGAAAATGAAATGTTTACCAAAAACCCATCACTGCCGCGCATACATTTTAGAGATAAACAGATCTGTCCGGATAGTCCTGATTAAAAGTGGAATTCTCCTGGCGTTGTACTGGTCTGGCCAGCCAGTTCTGACAAATTGTAAGTGCCCTAAGACTTTCTGTTATCGAGTTTCCTTTTTTGTTTCTGTTTTCTATTTTTGTGGTGTTACTCAATCAGTTGCGTTTTTAGCGCTCATGGAATTTGAATTTTGAATGAGTCTGATATCCAGATTTTACCGCTCCTTCAGGGTATAGGGAAGAGGAGATAGCTGACACCACAAACTCGGCTTCGGTATCTCAAGTATATAACTTTCTCCTCTACACCGGTAGCTCGCTAGTATAGAACAGACGCTTCTGCCTTCCCAAGCTCACTAACTCAGTTTACACCCACTTTTCTGCTGCGCTACATCTCACGTGACCACACCCCTTGTGCAAAGCACTTTGCGATTTTTGCTCATAAGAAATGTTTCATTATCCCCTGTTTTATTTGTAGTTATTCTCGTACTTTTGTGAGTGCCTAAATGCTGCAATTGAAACTGCAAAGCGAGAAGGAAGGCAAGTATTGTTTTTGTTACTGACCAGTTAATTTCTAAGAAACTAAGTTCTTCACCCCGAAGCGTCGATCTCTCATATTAAGCTTAGGGTCAATAAAGCTTGGTTCTTACACGATAAGATTTGTCTCGCATGCATCCTCGAAAAAACATTGGTCTCGCATTCATACCCTGGACACAAATGAATAATATTGCGTGATAATTCTTAGGTATAGTGAAGGCGTAACAGACGTATCTGGATCTTCAATCACGATGGTCGGCGCTGCCCGGCCTGTTTTTAGCGACTTTCAAAGAGGCCTCATGGAAACAAAGTAAGTAGTCTTAATGAAGATATGACCCTTCCCAGTCGTGAACGCAATTTAAGCAATTGCAAATTTAGCCCGAAGTTACCATTAAGTCAATTCTTAAGGTCATTCTTCTGTAGTAGAATCTGCAGTGAGATTTTTGTCAAACTTTGCCGATTGGATGTTGTTTGAAATAAAATCGCGGGGTCCCCAATCCCCATACTCGTTTTGGAGCGGGAGCAACTTGTAAGTGCGCAGTGATTCCTTGAGATACCAAGGGAGCTTCCGCATCAACGACAGCGATGGCAGCGAAAACGTCACTTTTAGAATGAATTTGAGTGGGTTTTTTTGGCGTGCTTATTCCAGTTCAATGAAAATGTCAAACTGTAGCGGGTGAATTTCTTGGGGACTGCACTCAAGTTTAGATAGAGAAGGAAAAAAATTCTTCCTCGCTTGTTTACGTCCTCCATAAACGTGAAATTAGGCATTTTCACATCGTAGTTGTGCAGTGACGGCAACGAAATGTAGAAAAATGTGTGATGCACGTACGAAGTTGTTGTTTAGCTAATATAAACCTAAGCCCCGTGCAAACGGACGCAACTTAACATTGTTGGATGTTACATGTTGCGTCCGTTTGCACATCCTGTTGGATGTTGTTGGATGTTGTTGCGTGTTGTTGCGCAAAGTTTGAAACCGGTCAAACTTTTCAGCCAGCGACTCCCAACATTTCTTTTCTTCCGTGATCTTCGAAACGTAGCACAACGATGTTGGATCCGTTTGCACAACTCTTCCAACATTGTTGGGGCCACGCACGCTCATTACGCATGCTTTACAAAGACTCATGGGTTGTATCCTTCCCACGATGCACTGCAGGTCCCAACATTGTTGGGAGTTGTTGCATCCGTTTGCACACCACTGCCAACATGCACGCAACAACTCCCAACATTGTTGGCGCAACAATGTTGGGAGTTGTTGCGTCCGTTTGCACGCAGCCCTATGATTTTTTACCTTTCTGGTTGCAGTCGCTCCCGACTATGATAATATTTATAAGTACATGTTTTGAACACGTTTCCGACGCTCGTCTCTCTTTCTACGGTAGAAATTAGTCTTAATTTATTTAAGAAGAAG